GAACGGTGAATAAACCTGGGACCGCAAAGAGGGGGGCAGGGCGAGAGGAAGCCAAATAGGGGAGGAGAGTACAGACCACAGGTAGAAGGGAGTGCGAGACAGAGGCGGAGAAAGAGAGAAGACCAGGAGATAAACGGCGCACAACGGGGGGGCTCGATGGGACGAACTAAGGGCAAAATGGAGAATGAGAGCGAGCGGTGAACCAAAGGGGGAGGCAGGGAAGGGGGGAAAGCGGACACGAGGGGCGGGCGGAAGGCCAAGGGACGAAACTAAGGCCCAGAGGGAGAGGACGTCAACAGCAGGCCGAAGAGGCAACGACAACGGAAGATGGAACCGAAGGGGGGCACGGGGGAAAAGGGCGGGGGAAATCCAAGACCAGCCGCGGGATGGAACAGGGAGAGGATATGGGGAAGAAAGGAGGGAACGGGGGGGTCCACTTTGGGAAAAAAGAGCGGAAAGGGGCAGAGGAAGGGGCGAGGGGGGGACAACGAGGAGGGGGGGCACGGCCGATGGGCTGGCGGGGAAGGGAGGCAGGGGCGGGAGGGGAGGACGAAGAGAGGGATGGGGCGCGCAAAAGAGAAGGGCGGGAAGGAGGAGGAAGGCGCAAAGGAACCAGGGGAGGGGGAAAGGGAAGGGAAAAAGGGGGAGGAGGGGGGGCCACAGGGGGGGAAGGGAGGGCACCACGAGGGAGTAAACAGGGCTGCTAAGCGGAGGGAGGGGGAGAGGAAAGGGTCAGCGCGCGCACGCAGGTGGGGGCAAAGCAAGCCGAAAGGAGAGGAAAAAGGCGGGAGGTCGGGCGGAACGCTGGGACGGCCGGCACCGGCGGGCGTAAAGTCGGGGAAGGAAGAGGGAGGCGGACGAACCACCTGAGACCAAAACCCGAGCCAGGCGCGGGGCGGATGAAAAGAAGAAGCCGGAGGGGGAGGATGAGGAGGGGGGGGCACCAAAAGAGCCAACAAGGGCAGCCCCACACGCGCGGGCGAAGGGAGGCAGGGGAGGCAGGAGGACAGGCACACAAGATGGGGAGGGCGGGGACAGCGGGAGAAGGAACAAGGCCAACAACCAAGCCATGGAAAGATCAACACGGGAGGGATGGCGAGGAAGGGAGAGAGCAGCACGGCAATGAGATACCAAAACGTGGGGAAGGACCCACCGCCCGGGATGGAAAACAGCATGAGGCGGCCAATGGGGGGACCAAAGGGAGGTGAAAGTGGAGGAGGGCGCCGGGTCAAAGAGACAAGGCACGCACGAGGTGGCAAAAGGAGACACCCGACAGATAAACTCAGAGGCGGGGAACGGCAACGCTGGCAAGGTGAACGTAACCAGAGGCGGGAGCAGATAGGCAAAAAAAAAGGGCCACGCCAACGGGCCAAACAAACGGGTGTGGTGGGGGGAGGAGGCTAACAAATAACAAGGCGAGACCAACAGAACCAAAAGCCGGGTGCTGCCGCGGACAACCACGGGGTGCGCCGGGCCCGGGAGGCGGGAGGGGAAACCACGCGGACGGCGCAACAGACGAACGCATAGAGGCCCGGAATCCCAGGGTAGCCGGGACGAAGCCTAGGAAGGACCACGAGATCGGAGCAACGCCGGACGCAGGGAAACGCAAAAGCGGATGCACACGGGGCAGAAAGCACAACCGGCAACGCGCACGGGAGAAGTGGATGGCGCAGCGGAGCACCCCGCCGGGGCACAACCAGGGGACGAGTAAAAGGCCGTTGACGAACTAGGGAGGCGCGGCCGGAGGGCGCGAAACCAGCAAACAAATCGGGAGCGAAGCAGGGCCAACAAAAGGAAGCGCAGGAATAAGAGGCCTGGAGCAAAAGCTGGACGGCAAGACGAGGGAGGGGCAGCATCCTCCAGGCGCTGGGCGGGCAAACGGGACCGGCGAGGCAGGAGGGAGAGGACAAATCGCAACAAAAAGGTGACCAAGACGGGCGCCGCGGGGCGGGCGGCGGGCGCGCGTCGCGCCGGGCGCGCGCTCGCGCACGGGGGGCGCGCGAGCGGGCGCAACGAAGCATGAACGGCGGCAAAAAGCGCGAGCTAGACGTTGCGAACGGGCGGTTGGCATTGCGGCGGGGGGGGGCGGGGCGGCGGACGGGGGGGGTTGTGCGCGGGGGGGCGCGAGGGGGCACGGGGAGGGAGAAGAAGAAAGCGGGAAGAGGGCGTGGAAACGCGAGGAGGGGAAAAAGGACGAAGCGGGGGGCGGAGGGAGCAAGGAAGGCGGGGAGGGAAAGGGAGGAAAGGGTAGGAGAGGCCAAGCGAGCAAAGGGGGAGGGGGTGAGAGGGGGGGGGAAAGAAGAGGCGGGGGGCGAACGAAGGGGGATAAGGAAACAGTGGGGCGGACGGGAAGGACACAGACGAGGAGGAGGGGGAGGGGAGGGGGAGGCAACGGGAATAAGTACGGGCGGAAAGAGGTGAGAGGGTCGCTAAAGGAGAGGGGCAGAAGGACCAAAGAGAAGGTAGGGGAGAAGGGATCCGAAGCACAACGCAGGCTCAAGAGGGAGAGCGAAGCCCAACGAAACGGTACGGGCCCAACTAAAGAAGCATCGGAACAAGAAGAAGGGACACCGAACGCCTAAAGGGAAGGGAATACCAAAGCGAAAACAGCCAAGGAGGGCCAAGGAACTCAGGGAGACAGCAACGGAAACACAGAGAATCACGGAGCAACCAAAGAACACGAGAAGGCGGGTAAAAACAATGGAGAGGCGAGGAGAGGAGGACAGGCAACGCCGCGCACCAAACACGCAGACCGCGGCCGTGCGATACGCCTGCAGCATCGAAAAACCCCGCTCCGGGGGCCCGAGCGCCAAACGGCTCCGCCATCAAACCGACATACGACCGCCCGGGGACGCCGCGGGCGCCCAGGCTTGGGGGGAAAGGCGCGCGGCCGGCGGTCGGGGGAACGCCGCGACGGTGGACCACTGAGCGCCACAGCGGAAACACCGAAACCACGGGGCCAGGACAAGCGGGCCAGCGGGCACCGTCACACAGCGACGGCAAACCACCGGCGGAGCAGGGAGCCCGGAGCGCGAGCGAGGTAGCGGCCGAGAGAGGAGGAGGACACAGGCGGGGCGGTAAAAACCCGGGCGGGCGTCGGGAAGGGGAGAAGAACCGCCGGCGCGCAACCCGCGGCCGAGCGATGCTCAGAAGAGCCGGGCGAAGCGGCGGAACGCAAGACAGGAGGCCGCGGCACGCAGAGACACAGCCGGAAGGTAAGGGGGCTCGACGCACCGGGAACGCTGGGCGGTGCCGCAGAATGCAAACCTGGCAACGAATCGCGCGACCAGAGCAAGCGCCGGAGGCACATAGCATCGAGCAAAGCGCGCCAACGCCAAAAAGGCGGGGTGGACGCAACCACATGACAGGAGCCGGGCGGCAAGGGAAGGGACTACAGCAAATGTATATGCGGCGCGCACATGCGCGGGGAAAACCGCTGCGCGCAGCCTGATCGGCAGCGCGGTACCAACAAGCGCAACTCGGGAAGCGAAGGGCGGACCCGCATGGACCCCCACAGTGTCAACGGGCGGGCAGAAGGGAGAACGGGGCAGGTCGAGCGGCTCGGGGGGGCAACCCACACGGCGAAGAGGGGTTCGAAACATCCCGCAGCCAGGGGCCAAATACCACGGGGCTGCCGCACCGGCGTAAGGGGGCGGCCTAGGGCCCACACCAATACGACCCATAGCGCGGGGCCAAGCAGGCGAGGAGCGGCACAACGGGGGGGGGGCAGCAAGGCGGCACTGAGCGTCGGCAGCAACGGGGGGAGAGGCGGTAGCGAGCGGTCGCGGGTCGGGGGGGCCGACGGGGGCGAGCGCGGGGACGAGGATGGTCAGCGCAAACGGCGACACACAACACTGGCGGACCAAAAGGAGAGCTAAAAGAAGAACAGTAGTAGGGCACACGCAGTCGACGTCGCAACCGAGAGCTAAGCCGAACCACGGAGAGGCGGAAGGGCCGCGGAAAGGGCGCAAACCCACTGCATGCCAACGGAGTGAAGGCGAAGGACTGAACGCCGGCCGAGGCGCAAACCAGAGCGCGGAGACCAACCGGAACACCCCCGAAAAACAAGGAGGGAAAAGCCGGAATACAGGCAGAGAACGGAACTGAAACAACAAACACAGTCGTGAAGGACGGCAAAGAGAACGAGAGAACAGAAAGGCCAAAACCAGGGGGGAGGCCACGGGCAACAAAAGGAGGAATCGAACGCGACGGCAACGCGGCAAGGGGGGACAGCGATAGCCAGAGGCGCAAAGGATACATACGAATACGGCGCACACATGGCCACAAAACCGGCGCACGAGACCGGCGCACGCGGCGAGACGAGCCCGGAACGAACACAAGAAAAACGGGACGACGCCGGGCATGGCGAAGAAGGCAGGGCGAAAACCCAAGACAGGGGAAAGAAACAGACATAGAGAAGAGTAGAAGGGGAAAGCAGGGGAAACGGAAGACAGAGATAGAAGGACAAAACCAAGTAGCAGTAGGCAAACAAAGACGCAACACGCGCAACCAATGAAGACGGAACACAGCCCAAACCACAAAGGATGAACATCAACACAAAAGGAGAACAGACAAGACCGAGGGCAAACACTAGGCCCGGGGAGACACACGGGCACACGCACGACGCAACGCACACTAACGGCGACACATAGCCCGGTGGACAGCACGCAGCACGAGGGGAGAGGCGGCCGGAGCCGGCGGGGGGCCAAGCGGAGGGCGACCCCCAACCGGGGGGGCGGCAACCATGACGCCAGGGAACCGGGCGCGGAGGCCAACCGGGGCCCCCGCCGGGGACCGGCGGCCCCACAACGAAGGCACCACCAATGGCAGAGGGACACGAGTGGACCGGACACACCCGCAACACAGACCACCCAAGAAGCACCGGAACCCTGACACAAAAGGGCACAACGCCAGAAGCGCGGCACGGCCACACGAGGACCGCCGACATAGACCGGGGGACGAGGGGCCCAGACCATTCGAAGCGGGCAAGCAGTGGTAAAATGCCACACATCACAGCATCGCCGCAAAGGACGCAAGCAATCGGAGCAACACGAAGAGAGGAAACCAGAGCAACGCAAGGAAGGGGGAGGAACAGGGGAGGAGGAGGGGAGGAGACCAAGGGAAGGGAGAAAAGGAGACCCGAACCAGAGCGGGGGGCGGGCGCGACGGGCGGCGGAGACGAGAGGGGCCAGAACGCGGGAAGTCGGGAAGGCGGGGGAAGCGAGACAAACACACGAAAAGGAGGGAGGACGAGAGGGGAGGGGCGCCAAGGCGAAAGAAGACACGAGACAGGAAGAACAACAACGAGAGGCAAGCAGGAGGGGCAACAAGCACGAAAGGACAGGGGGGGAAAGACGAGCGGAGCAAGCAGGACGGCGCGGCAACAACGAGAAGAAGGGGCACCGGGCGGAGGGGACAACAGCCGAGGACAAGAAGGACGGCAGCGGAGGGGACACACGGGGCAAGAAGCAGGAAAGGAAGAGGGACCGAGCGCGGGGAGCGAAAGGACAAAACCCGAAGGCGGGCCAGACCGGCAACGGCGACAGGGGACAACCGCAGGAAGGGAGCAGGGAAGGCAGGAAGCGCCCCGGGCCGGGGCCAAGGGGGAAAAGGGGCGAAAAGGGCAGCGCCCGCCAACGGAGGAAGGGGCAGCACCGAGAGAAACGCACCGGCAGCAACGAAGAAGGGGCGGGGGCAGGAGCACGCGACGGACGCACGGACAAAAGCGCGGGAAACGGCGACAAGGACGAAAAGCGGGGGGGAACCAGGGGGAGGGGGAAGGGACGGGAAGAAGCAGGGGCGGACACCGCAAGGAAGGCGGGACAGCAGGGGGAAGCAAGCAGAGCGCAGAGGCAAGACGCGCAGCGGGGGAGAAGGCAAGAAAGCAGGGGCGACCAACCGCAACGCAGGAGAAGAAGGGGAGAGAGGCGGAGGAAACGCGAGGAGGGGAAAAACCGACGAAGGCGGGCCGGCGGAGGGAGCAAGGAAGGCGGGGGGAAGGGGACGAAGAGGGAGAGGGCAAGCCGGCCAACAGGGGGGAAGAAGAGGGGAGGAGGCAACAGGGGCCGAACCACGAGAAAAGCGCGGGGCCGCGCGAGCGCGGACGGACGCGGGCGGGGGCGGCAGAGCAGGCCGGCAGGAGCAGGACCGAAAGGGGGCGAAGGACGCAAACGCGGGCAAAGGAGGAAAACGAAGCGAGCGGAGCCGCGGCGCCAAGACACCGAAAGGGGACGGGGAGGGCGGCGAACGAAAAGAGGCGAGGCACCCCCCCCCCCCCGCGAGACGCGCAGCGCAGGCGAGCGGGACCAACAAGGGGGAGCAGAGCCAAGACCGGGAGCGGGAAAGGCGGGGCAGGGACGGCCGGGGAGAGCCCGAGGCAAAAGCGCGGGAAAAGCGGGCAGAGGGCGGGGCACGGGGGGGGAAAAAGGGAAAAGGAACAGGCGCAGCGCGCCAAACAACGGGCAGGGAGGCGGGCGAAAGGGGAGGACGGGAAGGGAAGAAGGCAGGCGCGCCGAGGCGCCAGGCAGGAGGAAAGGGGGGACGGCAGAACAACCGGACCAAGCACAAGCAGGAGGGCGAAGGCGCAAGCAGCCGCACAGGGAGCAGGAGCGCCACAGAGGAGACGAAAACCAAAAGACCAGGACGCCGCAGAAGAAGAGACAAGAGCGAAGCGGGACAAGGGAGCAAGAAAGAGGCGCGACAACGCGCGGGAGGAGGCCCGGGGGCCAAGAGGCCGAAAAGGCAAGAAGGCGAGGGAAGGGGGAAGGGCCGAAGGAGGGGGGAGAAGGAGACGAGCAAGAAAAGGACAACAAGCGGACAAGGGCGAGGAAAAAAGGCGAAGAGGGCAAAAGGCGGCCAAAGGAAGCAAGCAGGGAGAGGGAACGCAGAGGCACCAGACGGAGGGGCGAGGGAGCAGAGCGGGGAAAAGAACGCACGGAGAAGGAAAGGAAGCGGAAGAGCCGGCGGGGGCGACCGAAAGCAGGGGAAAGGAAGGGGAGGGCAAGGAGGGACAGGCGAGAGAGGAAAACAACAAGCACGGCCAAAAGGGGCAGGGAGCGCAAGGCGGAGGAGGGCGAACAGGAACCAAAAGAGGCCGAAGAGGCAGAAACAAGAAACAGGGCGCGCGGGGCAAAGCAAGCAGCAGCAACAGCCAACAGGGCGAAAGCGAACGCGGGGGAGGGGAGCGGAGGAACAAGAGGCACGAGGGGGCAGGAAAAGGAAAAGAGGCAGGAGAAAGAACAACGGGCAAGAGCCACAACGGGCGAGCCACCGAAAGAAGCAGGAGAACGGCCCGCAAACCGCAAAAGCGGAAACCAGGGACGCGCAGCGAGGGGCGAGAAGGGCCGAAAGCCAGGACACGGCAAGGCGAAACGGGCCACAGCCCAGAGGAAGCAAACAGCAAGAGAACAAGGCGACCACAAGGCCCGCAAAAGAGACGGGAGAAAGAGAGAAAAGAAGCGACAAACCGGAAGCAGCAAACGCCAGAAAGGAAGGAAGAAGGAAGGCAAGGGGAGGAAACGAAACGGCGGACACAGGCGCAACCGAAAGGAGCGCCGCAAGCGCGAGCGCAGAAGACGAAAGCACGGAGGAGGAGAAAGGACGGCGGGGCCGAGGCAGGCAAGAGGCAGACGAACGAGGGCGCAGGGCAGAGGAAGACGAGGGAAAGGGCAGGCAGCCGCGGGGAGGCAGCGGAGGCAAGGGCGGGGAGAAGGGGACCGCCAAAGGAAGCGGGCACCGAAAGGAGGAGGAGGGGCAAGGGGAGAAAGAGCACGGACGCCAAACGCAAGGAGGAGAACGCGCGGCGCAGGCGGAGCGAGAAGGAACGAAAGCAAGGGCGGAGGGAGAACAAGAGGCGAGGCAGGCGAAGGAGCAGCGGGAGAAAGAGGGGCGCGCGCGAAAGGAGCGGGCACAGCAAAAGAGAAGAGAGAGCAAGAACGGCGGGAAGGGGGGAGAAAGGCAAGAAGGCAGCCAACCGAAGGGAGAGAAGGAGGAAGGAAGCCAGACGGCCCGGGGAAAGAACGGGAAGGGGGGGAACCCCAGCGCCGCGGCACAAGGCGAAGGGAACAAAGCCACGAAGGCAGAGGCACACGAAAGCGGCGAGGCCGCAGGGGGGCAAGGACCCACCCAGGGGGCGGAGCCGAGGAGGGGAGGGAACAAGGGCGAAACACCACAAGCAACAAGCCAACCGAAAGGGACGGCGGGACAACGAAGGGGGGAAGCGGGAAAGAAGAAAGCGAGGAAGGGCAAGCCGAGACAAAGCGAGGGCAAAAGGAAGGGACCAAAGGGCAAGAAACAGAAGCACGCCAGAAAAAGGGGCAGCCGAACGGGAACACGCAAGCCAACAAAAAGACGAAGGGGAACCAGAGGCAAGAGCGGCCGAAAGGCACACGAAAGAAGCCGGCACAAGGAAGCGCAAGAAGCGGACAAAGCAGACAACCCGAAAGAGCCGGCAAAAGAGCGGGGGAGGGCAAGGGAGGGACGGGGCCAGCAGAAGAAGAGGGGGGGAGGACCCAGAACCGCGGCCAAGAGCAGGAGGGGAAAGGAGGCAGCGGCGGAAACAAACCAAGCAGCGCAAGCAGGAGGAAAAGCGGCCGCAGGAAGAGCAACGGAAGAAAGAGAAGGCGAAAGGCGGGGCCAGCAGCCAGGAGGAGGAGCGCACAGCAAGGGAGAGAGAGGACCGAGGAGGAGGCGGGGAGACGCGAGGGGAGAGGGGGGCCAAAGGGACGGCGAACCCCCAAGGACCCGAAACGAAAGGGGGACCGAAAAACACAGAAGCGGGGAGGCAGGAAAAACAGGGCAGAGGGGAGAGGGAGAGGGGAGGCGCAAGACAGAGGACGGGGGACAAAACAAGGGGGAGCAACGGGAAGGAAGGGGAGGGACCCAAAGGGAGCGGGGGAGGGGAAAAGAGCGGCAAAACGCGGGGAAAAGGGGACAGCAGCAACAAGGGAAGAACAAGGCAAGAGGGCGCGGAGGGGGAAGGACGGAAGGGCAAGCGGCGAAGCACAAGGCAAGGGGGGACAAAGGAGACAAAGGAGAAGGGCGCAAAGACGAAGGCAAAAGCGGGAACACGAAAGAGAACAAGACAGCGGGAACAGGGACAACGAAAGAAGAAGAGGGAGGGAGGAGCGGGAAAGGCGGCGAAGGCGAACGGGGGCGGGGAGCCAAAAGGAAGGCAGAGCGCAAGCAAGAAGGGCACAACAAACGAAGGCAGCGGAACGGGAAGACGAGAAACAAGCGGGCCAAGAGAAAGCGCGGAAGAGGGCGACCCGAAGCAGCGGACACGAAAGAGAAAAGAGGGGAGGCAGGGCAAAAAGGAAAACAAGGCAAGGCAGCCGGCAAGGCAAAAGAGGGAGAGACAAAGGCGCGAGCGCGAAGCCGGCGACAGAGGGACCGCGGGGGACCAGGGGAGCCAGCAAGGGGGAGGGGAAGAAAAGAGACGCGGGGGAGAGGAGAGGACGACACAAGAGAGACAGGGGGGCGGGCGGGAAAAAGAAGAAGGAAACAGAAACCAGCGCGGCCAAAGCGGGGGAGACAACGGCAAACAGAAAAGGAGCGCAAAAGAAGACGAAGAAGAGCAGAGCAGGGAACGGAAGGGGCAACAAAGGCAGAAAGGAAGGCGGGGCGCAAAAGGGAAGGGCCACCAACGGCGGCAGCACGAACGCCGCAGCAAAACGGAGGAGCCGAAAGAAGAAACAGAACCGGGAAAGAAGCGGCACGAACGAGGAGCGCGCACGCAGGACGACCGAAGAGAGGGGGGCGGAAGCCAGAAACACGGCAGGCGAGACACAAAAGAGAGCCGGGAGCAACAAAGCGCACAACAAGACACCAGAGGAGGGAGGGAAAGGGAAAACACCGAGGAGCGGGAGGGCAGGGCGGGGGGGCAGGGGCGGCAGACAGAACAACGGGAAAGAAGCAGCGAAGAGCGGGGACGAAAGAGCGGAGGAAGGGGGAGGCAGGGGAGACGCCGCGGGAAGCAAAGCAGGCAGAGGGCGAAACAAACGAACAAGGGGAAGGGAGGAAGCCAGGCAGGGCAAGGGGGAGGAACAAGCGGAGAGGAACCCAGCAGGAGGAAAACAGCAAGCAAGGCAAAGCAAAAGCCGCAGCAACCGGGGGACGAAAAGACCGCAGACGAAGAAGACAGACGCGCGGCCGACACGAAAGAGCAGCGAAAGGGGCAGGAACCCGAACCGGGGCGCAAGAAAAGGGGGAAGGCAACAGAAGGAGCCGGCAGCGAGCACAACAGCGGAACCAAGGAGGACAGGGAGCGACCGGAGAGGCCGGAAAGGGACGCGCAAAAGCAACAAGAGGCGGGGGAACCAGACCGGCGAGGGGGAAAAGAGCAGCCAGCAGAGCAGGGGAGGGGAAAGAGGCAAGAAGGGGGAAGAACAAGAGCCGCCGGGCACGAAAGGAGGAGGGCAGGGGGCGGGCACAAAGGGAACCAAAAACCAGAGAAGAAGCGCGAAAAGACCCAGACGGGGGAAGAGCCAGGCAAGAAGAGCGCCAGCAAGGGGAACGAAAGAAGGGAGGGGAACGGGGCCGAGACCAGCGCAGCAGAAGGGCAGGGGAACGAAAGGGGGGGGAGAAACAAAAGGAGGGAAGAGGGGCGCAGGGGGAGGAACAAAGCGCGGCGGGGGCGAAGGGGGAGGGCCAAGAAGAAGGGAGGGAGGGGGAGGAAACCGGCGCCCCGGGAGCGAGAGGGGAAGCGAGGCGCAGAGGGCGAGCGGGGCAGCCGAGAAGAACGGCAAAGGCGAGCAAAGGGAGGGCAAGAGCGCGGGCCGAAAGGGACGGCGGGAAGAAGAAGGAGAGGGGGAACAACCACCGGGCGGGGCAAGCAAGAAGGAGCGGGAAAAGGGGAGCAGCGCAAAAAGGCGCGGGAGGGCGGAAAGCAAGCGCCACGAGCCGGGGAGGAGACGCGCGCAGACGGGCGGAGCAAGGGCGGCGGCACGAAAGGAGGGGGGAGAAAACACGCGGGCGGAGAAAAGAGAAGGACCAGAGGCGGGGGGACAAAGCGACGGGGAGGACAGGAGCGGCGGAAGCACGAAGCCAAGCGGGGGGAAAAGGGCGCAAGCGGAGGAAAGGCAAAGGGGAGAGGAGGAGGAGGGGGGAACGGAACGAGGGCGGGGGGGCAAGGCAAACAAGGCCCAGAGGGAAGAGGCAGAAAGCAAGCCAAAGAGACCAAGGAGGGAAGCCGAAAAGGGGGCAGGGAGGGAAAAAGGGCGGGGAAAAGGCCAAGGAGCACAGCCCGCAGAAGGGACAGGGAGAAGGAAGGAAAGGAGGGGGAGCAAACAAACGGGCGAGGGAGGAGGGGGGCGCGCCGAGACCGGACAGCAAGCAGACCGGACAGGGCGGGGCGGGGGGGGGAGGGGCACGAGGGCAAGCGAAGCCGAAAGAAAGGCACCGAAGGGCAACCGAAAAAGAGAGGAAGAGAGCGGAAGGGAACGCAAAGGGGCGGGCGCGGGGAGCCAAAAGAGGGAGCAGGGGAGCGAGGGGGAGACGCAGACGCGGAGGGCGCGGGAGGGCGGAGGGAGCGAAAAAGGACCGCAGGAACCGGGCAGGGCCGAGGAGGACGAAGGGGGCGGGGGGAGGAAAAAGCAAAACGCGAGGGCCACAAGGACGGCGGAAGCCGAAGACAGAGCAGCGGGAAGCGGCGGGGCGCAAAGCGGAGGGAGGAGACACCAAGGAGAGAGGAGGGCAGAAAGGCACGAGAAGGGAGCAGAAAAGGCGAGAACACGAGGGCGAGCGCGAGGACGAACAAGCCGGGGCGGCACGCGCGGACCAAGCAGAGGGACAGCAAGGAGCACGGCAGGCGGGAGCAGGGCGAGAAAAAGAACAGAGCGCGGGAGGAGGGCAAGACGGAGGAGCAACGGGCAGAGAGACGCACGAAACCCGGAAGGGAAGCAAGAGGCGCGCGGCGAAGGCAGGAACGCGGAAGGAGGGAAAGGACAGAAAGCGAGAGAAGCAAAGCGGCAAAGAGGCGGGCGCGCGAAAAGCAAAAGAGGGGAGGCAGCCGCACACGCAAGGAGCGGGAGAAAGGAAGGACGACGAGGAGAAGAAAGGGCGCAGCGAACAAAAAGGCGAGGGGGGGCGGGCAGGGGCAGGAAGGAGGACGGGAAGCGAAAGAACCAGGACGGAGGCACGAGAAGGAAAGAGGGAAGGGCGCAGGGAGCCACGAGGGACGGAGCAACAGCGCAAGCAGGGCCGGGAACACGCGCAACACAGACGAAACCGGCGCCGGACACGGCCGAGAAGGAGGCACGAGAAGCGGCCACGCGGGGGGCAAGCCCAGGGGAGAGGGCAAAGAAAACAGGGGGCGGGAACGAAGCGACAGGGGGACGACGCACCCGCAGGCACCCCCACCAAGAGAGCAGCGCCGCGCAAGGCCACCGCAAGCAGCAAGAAAAAGAAAGCGGGAAGAACGGGGGAGGCCACGGGGACAAAGGGGGAGGGGAGCGGGGGCAGGAGCGGGGGAGGGAGGACGCGAGCAGGCAAAGAGGGGGCAGGAGCGAAAAGAGGGGGGAAGAGGCGCACGGGAGCGGGGGCCGAGAGAGGAGGCGGCGAGGGCAGGAGCGGGACGCAGGCACAAGAGCGGAGAGAAGGAGAAAGAGGGCAGGAAGGGAGAAGGGGAAAGGAAAAGAGCAACGAAGCGGAAAAAAGGGCCAAACGGCGAAAACAGCAGAGGCAGAGAAGCCGACAAGCGGCCGAAGGCCACCGGCAGAAGGCGGGAAGAAGAGGGGGAAAGGGGCAGGGACACCGACGCCAGGCCCAACACAGCACCAAAGGGACAAGGAAACGCAGGACAAAGGGAGCAACGAGGCCAGGGCGACAGAAGGCGGACGGCAGGGAACAAGCCACGCGGCGGGCGAAAGAGAAAGGCGGAGGAGGAAAAAGGGCGAAGGAGCAAACAGCGGAGGAAGGGCCGCAACCGAGGGAACAACGGAAGAGAGCACGAGGGGGCACGCGCGGCCGGAACGCAGGCACCCGAACCCACGCGCGCACGGGAGGAG